GTCGGAGGGTCAGTGCCGAGGGAGCGCCGCGCTGTCGGAGGGTCAGTTCTCTTTGTCCTTTGTCAACATCACAGGGACAGATTATCTTCCCATTATCAGTGTGTTTTTTGTGGGATATGGTTGAACAAAATTGGTTGCTGCATTTTGTCTGTTATAAAATTGCCTACATTTCAAAAGCACTTCATCGGCTGTTAATGCACTTTGACAAGCCCCCAAGGTGATGAAAGGCATGAGAGAAAATGCAAGTTCCCTTTTTCTGTTGGTTCTAATTATTTTGTTTATTTTCATATTCATCTCCAGGATTCCTCCATGATTTGGGTATTATTCACCGCGATGTAAAGGTAGGAGCTCTCTCTGTTGATTGTCACATCACTGCTGGGCTCGAGGGGTATGGGAGCCAGGAAAGGCTGGAGATAAGTCAGACCATAGGTACCCAGCACAGCAGCTACAAGGCACAAGTCAGGAGTGTGATGGAATACTCCCCACTTGCCTGGATGGGCGCAGCTCCAACAACACTCAAGAAGCTTGACACCATCCAGGACAAAGCAGCCGCTTGATTGGCACCACATCCACAAACATCCCACTCCCTCCACCACCGACACTCAGTAGCAGCAGTATGTACTATCTACAAGATGCACTGCAGAAATTCACCAAAGATCCTCAGGGAGCACCTTCCAAACCCATGACCACGTCCATCTAGAAGGACAAGGGCAGCAGTTACATGGGAACACCACCCCCTGCAAGTTCCCCTCCAAGCCACTCACCATCCTGACTTGGAATTATATCGCCGTTCCTTCACTGTCACTGGGTCCAAATCCTAGAATTGTCTCCCTATTAACATTGTGGGTCAGCCCACAGCTGGAGGACTGCAGCGGTTCAAGAAGGCAGCTCACCACCACCTTCTCAAGGGCAACTAGGGATGGGCAATAAATGCTGGGCCCAGCCAGAGACACCCATATCTGGTGAATGAACAAGTATGTGAGAAATAAGCAGGTGTTTGGGAGGTGTTTAAAGGTTGAGGAATGTGGGAGGAGGGATGGTCTGAGTGATGTGCCTTGATTCTGCAGGCCTCAGAGTGAGTGACTTTGACATGTTAATGCACCTGCCCATTCGGGGCTCAGATGTTAAACTTTGAACTTTGCCTTTTTTCAGATGGAGAATGTTCTGCTGAATGAACGAGGTAAGCAGGAGTTGGCAGATCGACTTTGCCCCCAGTTGTGTGATCTGTCACTAACTCTAGTGGTCAGGTATCACAGAGCATTGTAATACATACACCAGGGTCACCGTGAGGTTCCAACTTCTACCCTTCGCCTGGAGGCATGGCGACCCTCAGGCTAAACCACCAGCAGAAGTGTGTCTCCCTATCTCTCTCTCTCTCTTCCTCCCCCCTTTCCCTCTCTCCCTCCTTCTCTCTCTCTCTGTCTGTCTCTCTCTCTGTCTGTCTCTCTCTCTGTCTGTCTCTCTCTCTGTCTCTCTCTCTCTCTGTCTCTCTCTCTCTCTGTCTCTCTCTCTCTCTGTCTCTCTCTCTCTCTGTCTCTGTCTCTGTCTCTGTCTCTGTCTCTCTCTCTCCCCCTCTCTTCACCTCCCCCCGCCCCCAACCTCCCTTTCCCTCT